AATATAATCAATCTTTATTGTCGTTTTAATCCATAATTGGCTATGTAAACAAAAAGAAATATTAAAAAGGTCTATTTTTTTACTTACTCTCGCTTCGCTTGTATGGCTTAGGAACGCATAAAAGACGAATGACCAAAGAAAAAATATTTCTTTTGGACCAGGAACGTTCGCAGGCATATACAGAATAATCCACCAAAGTTTCATTACAATCACGACTTAGGAACGTATAGAGGACAAACATACAAACATTTATTTTTATATAAAAGATAGATAAGTATCGCCTATTGCCTGTTTCTAAGTAATGATATAATTAATCATGACAAATCATGCTCCATGATTTTGACAGAAGTTAAACGAAAGTTCATATATAAGTCACATCTAGTGTATTTTTCAGTATATTTGTAATAGCTAGGTCAGTAATATTTATATAGTGCATTTGTAGCGTACATCTCGCCCCAGGCGAGGGCCTGCTGTGCCCATTACGTGACGGAACATTCTCTGCGAAGTAGGCCTCTCGGTAATTTTGTAAGAACAAAATAAAAATATATTTTCTAACTTTACAATACCATCTTTGAATTTTCTAGAAAAAGGAAGTAGTGCCAGCGTTTAAACTAAATCTGGACCGATTTGAATAATTTGTTTTTTTGTTTTGTTGGGATGGTTTAAGTATTAAAAAAATAGGTTAAAAAACCCCTAAAGAAAACCGAAAAGTTCAGAACTGCTTATTTTGTGCCTATGTACTTATATAATACCTATATAGTCTATCTGTTCCAAACTAACCGTTAAAATGTACTTAGGAAGGAACACGAGAGAAGCGAGGGTGAGCCGCTAGTCTATACATATAATAAAATTCAAACTGAGTCGAAATTGTAGGTGAGATATTTCCCGCAGTAAAATCTACTCTATATGTTGACCCGAACAATCAGCTATCACTGCCAAATTTTATAAAAATCCCTCCAGTGGTTTTTCCTTGATGCGGTCACAGACAGGCAGACAGACAAAATTCTAAATACTATAGATTCGGCCTATGTATCGATAATAATGTCTATTTTAATAAAGTTTCCAAAAAAATATTTAATGTACAAGTTCGACTCTGAATTTTATTATATGTATAGATTAATCTACAACTTGATTTCAAATGAATATGTGCATTATTTTGTAAGGATTTTCATAATACATTTTCGGCGAATATTTGACATTTAAAAAAAACATGAAGTTTTTCTACGGGAGGAAATGCCTGTTTGTGATGAACAAAAGAAAGATTTGGATATCTTCTTAAAGATTTGTATTAGTCTGTTTTAACAGAATTACAATGAAATTTTATTGGGTAGTGCAGGTGTCGTGTGCAAGAAGTAGAATGAGGGTTGTGTTAGATGTATGATTAACGTAGTGAGTGACGAAGTTGTATTATAGTAGAAATGCGATTAGCTGACTGTATAACTCTATACAGTAAAATATAATTATACGCCTTATGTTAAAGGCAATAGGGTCAACGATAGGAAATCTGGCGTCGACACTGCCTCGGGATCATTTTGCTGTAAAGCATTCAAAACAACTGAAACCATAAAGCCAAATAAAACAGCGAAATAATACGAAAGAAATAGTTTCATTTATAAGGTTTTAAAAAAAAAATACAATAAAGTAACTTATGTGTCAAAATAGCGAACCAATTTAATTACAGAGGCAGGTACAAATATATGATTTTAATATAGCGCACGTCAGAGATCAATTCAACTGGAAATTTTATTATATTCGATATTCATCGATTTCAAAGCTAGCGTAAATGTCAGAGGTACGTAGTGCATCACTATATATTATTGCTTCGTCGAGCTCTGTACTTTGTTAAAGGTTTCATTTATACAAATCGGTAAATGAAATTCAGAAAAAGTACATATATTCGTTGAAGTATGCGTTCTGCAATTTAATACTTTCTTACATTTACGCGAATAAAAATATTTTAGTGTATTTTTGGAATTTGTCTTTGTCTATTTCCTCTAAAAATCTATACATAGGTATAATAAAATTGTAACTAAGCCGAATCTGTACATTTAATATTTTTTGGAAAATCTTATTTAAATAGATATTATTATCGATACAGAGGCCGATTCTATAGTTTTTAGAATTTTTGTCTGTCTGTATGTCTGTTACCACATTACGGAAAAACCACTGAAGGGATTTGAAGAAATTTGGTATAATGATAGCTGGTTATCCGGGTGAACATATAGGATACTCTTTACAGCGGGAAAATATCTCATCTCTGAGAAATGTACACTAAACGTTAAAACGTAACCCGAGCAAAGCGAGGGTGAGTCGCTAGTCTTGTATAATTTTGTAGGTAGATACCGTCTGTAACAACCAACTAATAACTTTGAGACATCTAAAATCTTAGTCTATTCCATGACCATGTTTTGGCGTAAAGCATTCGAAATGTTGGGAATAAAAATATAAAAAAAACCGCGAAATAGGCTATTTTTTACCGCGGGAAATTCTCTAATTCCTACGGGAAAACACGTTATAATAGAATCAACAAAATATATATTTATGATCAGAATTACTTGAAACTTGGTATTAATGTTCTTCAATAAAATTAAATAAATACGTGTTTTAGCATTTTTCGAAATTCATCCTATAAGGGGGTAAAATAGGGGATGAAAGTTTGTATGAAACTACCTTTTTAGAGATTTTTTTGTAGTCTTAACGTGAGCGAAGCCGCGGGCTTTGATAGTAGGTAATGTATAATTATTGTCAATTCCATAAGCTCATAAACTCCAAAGATGCTACGATATATACGAGTATATATACTTATATTTTTATAGAGTTGCATGTACAATATACATATTGGAGAAAGTGATAAGTGATAACGTTATATTTTTACTATTGTGTCGGATGCCTTGGATGTGGCAGTGATTTAAATAATAAATGTTGATAAGTGATAAAGGACACATACTTAACATACTTGATGCATTCAATCGATATTTTAATGAAAGCACAAGTATTGTTAAATACTACGCTCTACATAACTACTCTTTACAATGGTAGAGCTTATTAACGTTTAATTATTTAGATTTTATATAAAATTAAAAATTCTCTAATGTTAAAATCCTCTCATAAAATATTATTAATGTGTTTGTTTGTTTGTTTTCCCTTCTTTCACTTCGAAACAGAGTGACGGATTGGCATGATTTTTTGTGTGGAGGTAGTTGGAGGGTTGGACAGTGACATAGGCTACCTTTTACCGCGGGGGATTATCTCATTTCCACGGGAAAATACGTTACAGTACAACCCACAATAACTCATAATACCTGTGTATATATACATATAATATATAGTCTATTCCATACTAACCGTTAAAACGTACGTACGTATAAAATAAATAAATATTGAAGTTTATTCACGACAGATAAATATTTATTTGAATAGCCCACCATCATTCATTCCTGCAAGGTGCAACTGCCAGCACGAGGAATTATTCATTGATCTTATTTTATCGATTTCAGTATATTTGTAGGTCAAAGCTAGTTTAACTTTATTAGTTAACAAATAACAGCGCAAGAGATTCGGTCATCAATATATTAAGTACTTGAGCGAGTCATAAAATTGAGTCATCTTTAACACAACATTTGCGTTAGATAAATATTTTTGGACTGAACATGACGTAGATATTGTGTTGGTATTAGGAAAAATTAAAATTTGAATTTACGAGATTAATTTGATACATAATTATCTATACATGTAATAAAATCCTAACTGAGTCAAATCTTTATATTAAATAGTGTTTGGGAAATCTTATTGAAATAGTCATTATTATCGATACAGAGGTTGAATGTATAGTTTTTAGAAATTTTGTCTGCCTGTTTGTCTGTGACCGCATCACGGAAAAACCACTAGAGGGATAAATATTTAAAATATGAATAATTTTATAGCAGACTAGCATTACCTGCGGCTGCGCAACTTTTTAGGTTTTACATATTAGTATACTCTTACATTGCAGTTTTTGTATTATTTCTCACAAATGAGTCATTTTCCCGCGGTAAAAATTATCCTATATGTTGTCCCGGATAACCAGCTATCACCATACCATATCAAAATACCTCCAGTGGTTTTTCTGTGATGCGGTAACAGACAGACAGACAAAAATTCTAAAAACTATAGATTCGGCCTCTGTATTGATAATAATGTTTATTTCAATAAGATTTTCCAAAAAATATTTAATGTACAGATTCGGGTTAGTTACAATTTTATATGTATAGAAAATTTTAAAGAACATTCTGATTTATATGTCGTTTAGTCAGTATTGATTTTTGTGCTGCAATTCTGGGAACATTGGGAAAGTACGGGGTAACCCTTTAATCCTATTGCAGGTAATTACAGCGTAGGTACTGAGTTATGACGCTTTTGCCCTTATCGTAAGGTAAAGCTGGGGAAATAAACGATTTAGAAAATGCAAAACCAGATTATTTTGATTGCTTACCAGCTTGGGACTAAAATGATGATAAAATTTTGATTTTGACCAATGCTGGGGATAGATTGTGTAAGATTGTGTAAAGTAAGTATGTATTCAAGAAGTGGCGAAGGGTCAATACAAGACGTCTTACCTCAAAATGTATTTTACTATAATTAAAATATATTTATTTTTTTAAGTGTATAAATGTTTTGGAAATATATATACATATATATAAAAAAAAATACGTATACAAAAATTGTATATTTTTGGAACGACTTATCTCTGCCAAAATTTCACCTTCGCCACTGATGTATAGTAATAATATTTTATTTGTTCATTGTAAGTTGCGACGATTTCACATAATATGCCGATATGTGAAAGTCATCATTTTGAACCCGTAAAATATTTATAAGTATGTTATAATATTAATTAAAAAAGATAAAAGGTTTCTTATCTATAAAAATACTGACTTTAGATTACACTCAATTTCCATTTCCGTATAACTAAAGCAAAACTTTGTTTTCATTACTTATTAAGACTCAAAAAATTATTGCAGCCCTGATAGAACAAAGCGGGGGACAAGATGAAGAGACGTCCAGTCGCTTTTCGTACGTGCTCAAACAACTCGTGCAAGAGAACATACCGGGTCTGCCGCCCGGCGGGGGCTTGGCTGCCAAGTGAGTAATGTTTATACCATCGATCAAAAAAGTACTAGATACACAATCAGCGACAAAAATTGTCCTCACCGAATGAGCGCTCGGTTGAACATTTGAGCGCGCTTTTAATTTTTTTTGTGAAAACAACTTTAAGCATTGCATTTAAGGTTCAATTTACATTGTCGTATATTTATTTCAATTAGAATATTTACCTAAACACAATTTGGTGATAGTTTTAAGAGAACTTTTGCATGGGATTGTGTATCTAGTACTTTTTTTATCGATGGCTTAGACAGACAATCGGACTATTTTTTTAGACTAGTGACTTACCCTCGCTTTGCTCGGGTGCGTCCCACATTGTATACGGATTTTGTTCACAATTTCGAGGGTTTTAATATTTTCCACGGAACACTAATTATTTTTTTAAAATAAATGTAGCCTAACTTACTCCTTATAACATCAGCTATCTGCCAGTGAAAGTCCCCTCAAAATCGGTCCACCCGTTTCGGAGATTAACCGGAACAGACATGAGACATTTTTTTTAAATTGTTCTTTTTTCTTATAAAGTACCATTTATACTTTCTTAAGCATTAAGTAAAAATCTATTATTTTGACATTAACAGACAACTTATTTTTTTTTATTTGTATACATGTGAAATTTTGTATGTGTGTATTGGTAGCGAACATACGCTACTTTACCTATAACGGCTGGACGGATTTTGATGAAATTTAGCACGGCGATAGACTTGTAGCCAAAGCCACAGTGTAATAAAGCTGTTAAAGTCATCTGGGACTTAATATGATACTATAAAAAACACAGAATTACCTCAAATGCTTGTAATAATTAAAATGTATTTTATTTATCATGTTTCAGGCAAGCGCTACTGGACAAAATATACAGGGAGTTCTACCCGGAACACACCGACAGCTCTGAGACGTTCGACTGCCAAGCTGAACTGGCGGACGCGTTCGCTAACTAGACTCGAGTGTTGAGGCTTAAAACAGGTAACACTATGCACGTGCTGGTACAGAAGAATATTCAGAAGAATTCAATCACATTCGTTTATAGTAATAGCATGTTAGAGAAGAATTATATATTGATCTTTCTGTTGGGTATTGTTCTATGAAATTATGATGAATATTGAATTACTCTGTTTGTATTTTCTGAAACACCCTGTAGCTTTTGTCGGTTAGGTTTGGGTTTTAAAGTTAAATAAATGTTTGTTATTGTATAAATAATGTTTTAGTGTAAATTCGACATGTTACTTTTTTTTTGAGAATTGAATGTTTTGCCGCGTTTAGATTTGAAATTAGAAAATTATTATGTATAAAGAGATAATTATATGAAAAATATATATTAATATCTTTAAAATATCATAAGTACACAAATAAATGTACAATAGTTTAGTAAATGCCATTTTATATATTCTTCTTTATCGGCACAGAGTATAACTTCCACTTTACAACATATCTCTATTCTTGATAGATTAATTCCTATATCGAGTAAATTCAAAATATCGTTTTGACATTTTTAACAGATAAAAAAAACATTGATCAATATATTTCTTATCTGTATACGGACCAATAGTATTAACCTTTTTGAAGTTTCCAAAATTATATGTAGCCTACACAATAACATAGAGCGGGCAAGTGATAGAAATGCTATCGAAAATGTTAAATGAAAGATTTATCTTTCATTAAAGAAAGATGGGAAATAATTCTGTCTTTATCTTATAATGCAATTGACAATTTTAATACAAAATCCAAATATTACTCTTACGAAACATTACACTTGCTCACTCTATGTGCATCATTTATAACGGAATTAAAACATCTACAATACTCTTTCAAACGTTTTAAGCCTCAATATATCGTAAGGTTTCATTTTATATACAGATTTTTATTGCCACTGATCTATATTTATTGTGGAAGTATCTCGCAGTTAATATGGGTTGGTATCATTGTGAGTAGAATCGCATTGTTGCTGTGGGAACTTTGACAACTTGTTTTTGTACATAAAATAAATGCGTCTCGAATTGTGAACGGCGCGAATGCGACTCTGCCGTGTTTGGTTCCTTCGCCTATGTCGATTGTCGTTAGATTTTAATCGCTTTGTACAAAATCCCGCTTTCTATCACCATACAAATGCTTGTCTATAGAAGATAAGTGACTCTATGGTAGGCTAAAGCGGCAATAACATAGGGGAATCACCGAGCATTGACTATGTTTTAAATTTAATACTCTAGCCTTATCTGCTGTGGATTGTGTCATAGACAAAAAATGTTTTTTTTTTATTTTTATTTCTCCCTATGCTAAGGTGTTGTCACTCTTTTCCTGTCCACAGCAGCATTTTATTAAGCGTTCAATCAATTACAAATTCAATATGGCAATATACGGCACAAATTTCAGTTTTCCAGACAATATAACTAGCCAATTACAATAGTATATTATAATAAAAAAAATGTATAGAAATGCAAAGGTTTACAATTTTGCAAAGTTACATTTAGACTAGTTCACTCACTCCCCTTTCTGTTTCAAAGACCTTGTTCATACATGTCATAAATATTAGATGAGTAATATAGATTCGATTAAATATATACATATATATTTAAAAAAAACTTAACTTAAAATCTTTGTGTTGTCTACGTTGATTTCAGCCGAGTTTGTAGTCTGTGGACACTCGCAAAAAGTACGCAATAAATTGTTTTCAGTTTATTTCTAAATAATGTTTGCAAATAAGATGAGTGTTTTAAAAAAATTAGAAATCTTAAGAGTTTGGTATTTTTTTTCGGTGGTCCACAGACAGTATAGGCTGTCGTTTATTTCAGTTAGGCCAGTCACTCTTAGTGTTTGAATATGAATAAAAAAATTAGTTGTAATTTTCGTTTTCGTTCTATCACCACAATCCTGAACTATGAAAAGTGTGGTATAAGTGTATGTACTTTTTGATGGCAAACATATTGTTAATTCAATGTCAATGTTGCCAGTTTAGTTTTCAAATGCCACCGTAAATCTTATATAAAATGTATGTAATGTGCGTAGTTTTTGTACATACTGCTCTGCCTTCAGTCGACCTCATTGTTTAACATTAACAATTATTTTAAGGCCTCATTTACTAAGTTAATGATTTCTTTTTGGTTTTGTTTTACTGTTAGTCGTGTATTCACTAGATATCGAAGTCATTATTATAGTAGATTAATAATAATAATTTTATATAGGGATGAATACAAAGCATTTTTGTGCGAATTTATTTAAAAAGTAAATTGGGCGTTAGCAAATTTATTTTTTAATTCATTTAAATAAATATTTATTTCAATATTGCCATTTTTTCTTACATATTTCATTTTATTTTATTTTAGATATATTTTACAATTATTGTGATGTTTTGAAAGTGTTTGACAATATGAATTTCTATTTTACATATAGTGAATGCATGACTACCGTTGTGTCTGTATTTTAGGCGAATAATAATTCATACTTAGATTTGCTTCCGAATTGCTTTGTACTTAACGTTATTGAACCACTTCTGAAAATTTTTAAACTTTTCTTTTGTAATATGCATGCAACTTACAATCAAACTTTGGTACACATAACAACTTTCACATTTTGATGGCCAAATTTGGTTTTGAGTTGTACTCCAAATGTTTCACTCTCGTGTATATAAAGAAATACTTTTGTACCTGCTCGACCGGATCGTTAGGGTCTGAATAAAATTAATAGGGAACTATTCTACACTAACAGTCTTTTGAATTTATTATCTGTAACAAGACTGATCAACATCGGCTTCATACTTTACTATACAAATATCTCTTGAGTTTTGTAAAATTGCTTTCTCGATATGCTTTGTCCTTTTTCAACTCATTTTTAGTCATAATATTAATATTGTTAGTTTTTTTTTTTTCATTTGACAACTTAATAGTATATTAATCTATGGTCTTACGCATTGACACGTCAGTGCTTAATTTTTTTAATTTAGAAAGTTTTTTTTCTCTTTTTGTGAATTAGACCAAATATATCTGGCAGTGGGTTTTGAATTTGAATAATTTTATGTCCATCCGAGGCGAATAGTTAGTTGTAGGTTCCATCGTCTGGTTGTTTTTTTTATTATAATTTCGCTTTCGTACGAAAGTCGACAAGTGTGTCTCGTTATATCTAGTAGACGCTTAAACAATAAATAAATACCTGTACGTACCTTCATTCTTTTTTATTTTATAAAACGTAAGTACCCCTGAATTTTATCTGCTCTAATGTATTAACATGGTTCATATAATTTTTAGAGATTATTGATAATACTAATAATTAATTAATCCCATTTATATATAAATGTAAATATCTGTGAAAATTATTGAACCTTTTATTACGCGTGTGTGGTGAACATAGTGAGTAGACTGTTTCTTTGCCAGCCGTCAGCTAAAACGGCGGAAAGGCGTGACAGAGATAAAACGAATGTGCGGCCAGAAGTCTTCTTTCTGTTTTAATTGAAATACGATTAATTAAGATAGATATTTATAATCAATTCTTTTTCTATCACACTGTGTTATTTTTTTACATTCCATTTATATATTCAAATTGGAATAAAAGACACGTATTGGCCGCACGTTCGCTCTCTCTCTTTCTAGAGAGTAGTCAATTTCATGAGAGTATTGTTCACTCCATACTCTTTCTATTTTTGTGATTAATTTCATTATTATTTTAACTAACACTTAGTTCTTATAGTTATCAATAGATGATACTACTTAAAAAAATAAATAAAAAAAAAATGGGACAGAACTGGTATAAATATGATATTTTTGCAGTGAGGGCAATGACTTGCAATATATTAAGAGGAAAATGAAAAGTGTTGAATGCAACTGAGCGCTACAGCATGAAGGAATAGTTTTATTACAGTACACATAAAACATATATAATTTCTACTCATATGTTAATTTTAAAATAGTTTTTTTTGAATAACAACTAACTTGCAATTCAGATTACCAAAATAATTATTAAGATGTACCTATATGCTAAAATGTAGTTATACGCTACAAAAATTTATAATTTGACTGAAATAGCTTTTCTTTCGATTAAAACGATAATTTTTGTTTTCTGTCACAAGAAAAAGCAACGACAAAAAAATAATAATAATCTAAACGTTATAATTTTCCAAAGACAATATAAAATTCTGTTCGTTTTTATACGAATTGTAAACAAATCTATCCATAGTGTCATCGGATTCCTCGGGCTTACGACGCTTCACTTGCTTTGATTTCCAAGCTTTATGTAAAGCGTTTATTTTCTATAAAAAATAATAAAAGGACTTATTATGTTATAATACTTTCTTAGATTTACTATTAAATAAAAATCTTTTAGGAACTATGTTTGTGCTGCCAATAAAAGATAATGAAGTCTAATTATAATTAATATTTATTGTCTATTTAATACCACGGCTATCGAGCGACCATAGAGTATATTGCTACATATATACGAGCGACTGACTCGTAATACAAAAACCACACAATATATACTAGCCGTAACCAAACATTAAAATGAAATATGCATATTATGCTTACATAAATTGCTTAACCCTACACTATCTTTTCGGATTTTAATTTAGATTTTTGGTTCCCAATCATGGTCACGAGAGAGTCTCTCCCGTGTTAAAACTTAAAAGGGCATTGCTAAGTTGGACTATTGGCTCTGAGAGTATTTAGGTATTTATTTCTTTAAAGAACACACTGTTAACATTATTTCTTATCTAAACATTGTAAAATGTTTAACATTTTAAGGTGCCACAATGTGCTTCATATTGTAGCACAGGCTTACAAACTAAGAAATAACTATTATAATTAATAACAAAAAATATCAGTATCGTAAATACATACTATACTGAAATACATACTCTTAAAGTTAATTGCTGTAGTCACCTATTCAGTGTTTCAAATAAGTCTAATCACGACTAGTTAAAAAGTAATTTTAAATAACTATTTTTCCTGTTACAGGAAGGCAAAATTGCTTTTTTCACCGTTATGTTAATAATTATTTTATTTTTATGAATCAAGCAAAGTCAAATTATATGGAGTGGAGATTTAATGACTACAATAGATACTAACATCTACACGATCCTGGTGTACCTTTTCCTGATACTTCCGTGCTTCTTCCTTCTTTTTCGACATTTCAGTATTCGATGTTTTGTATCTTAAAATTAAAAATTATAATTGAAATATTCAACAAGATTAGAAATATATTTAGATTCCTTCCAAAGGATGAGAAGAGGGATAGCGGTACGTACGTATTATAAAAATAATTATACCTAAACAAAATGTCACAATATTCATAAATATAATGGCAAAAAGTACCTATTAATATGTAGTGCTATAACGACACGTTTGGCTCAGCTTGTAGTGACCCTACATATAGGCTTTTTTCTTTGATAAAAATGTGTTAACTGTCAAAAATCATAATAACTTTTACTTGAAGTGAGAAAAAAATGGTCGTTAAGTTACTTCATCGGCTATTTTTAGACATCTAGGGATGTACCTAAGCGAAGCGAGGGTAAATAACTAGTCCTTCATATTTTTACCCGACTGCAGCGAAGCTCGAAAAGGGTTATGTGTTGACCTGCATGTATATTTGTATATCCCCCCCAACGTGCGTTCACCTTGTCGTGGTGGGGGGGCTCAGTAGTGCCCGGCAATCCAACCGGGCGCGAAGCTAAGAAACGCACAGGGAGGTTGCCCACTTCGGTGGGCCGTGGGAGGTGGCCCTCTTCGGGGGGCGGTGTACCATGCGGGTTGCTCCTGGTACTTCTCTGATAGCAGAGTGGACCTTAGAGCAACCCCATGGTTGTGGTGGTCTGCTTCGGCAGACCTGCCGTCGGGGCGTCGTAGTTGAATGCGTAAGCGATCCTGCGACGCCCCATTAAGACGGGGGAAGGTTTTGTTGGGTTTTAGTGGGTAGTACTGGCTGTATTACGCCGGTGAGTCCCACACGTCGTGCGTAAATGCATTTCCCAACGTTAAAAAAAAATGTATATTTGTATATCCGATCCTATGTTCCCTCGTAATTACTAAATGGCTTAAACGATTTTGGTGATACATAGGTACGCCGTAGATTTATCTTGATAACGGGAGTGTCATTGGGTATATAGATGTCATTAAAATAAAAATGGCAGTTCTTAGGCGCCATATTTGACTTGAAATTTTTTTTTATTCGAATAGTAAAATAATTGTGCAATGCAAAATATTATGTTGTCTTTTTAGTTCGCTTTTTAAGCAGTCGGGTTTTTTATTTTTGTAAATTATGTTTTTTTGTATACAATAATAAATATCATCAGCTAACTTGTATGTTAATAGTTTATGTGCCAATATATGTATGGGATTTTTTGGTTTGGTCTCTGCAACGTCACAAAGCACATCCGGCAATATGTGGCCGAATGTATCCCATAAGTATTTTGCATCTTCAGGACTTAATTTACCTGCAAAATTAAATATGTCATTTCTTTTTTGACGCTCGAAAAGTTTCTTTAATATAACTTATTATTTATGAAAATTATAGTTATTTAACTTAATAAATCCTTGAACATATAAAACTCATAATTCTAAAGGCTAAAAGAATATAAATAGATTAGCAAAAAAAAAGTTAATAAAAATATTATAGTTAAACTTAATATTTATTGAATGGGTACCTTTAATATCGACAGGTTTAACTTCCGGTAAAATAACGTAATCAGTATGATCTTTAATTTCCATACGACAATCTTTCTTTAAGGCCTCAGAATGGCCGCAATCTTTAGAATGTTTCACAAATAAATCGTTTTGTATGGTATAAGTGCTTGTACACGGCCCTATTTGATAGAACTTCTCACTGTCTTTAGTGACGATGAAACGACCGTTGTTATCGAAAAAGTATGGATCTGTTTCCGGTTTCTATGGATAGTTTTAAATTATATAAGAAGGTTGGAATAAATTTTAAGTTATATTTTAGACTAGGCTACACTATTATATATACTATCCTACTATTATATATAATACTAGCTGACCCGACAGACGTTGTCCTGTCTACACGTCTTTAATTTGAAAATTTCAAACTTTTTTTAATAATTTTTTTGATGAAAATTATTATTCAAATTGTGAATCTAAACCATTCCCAGATCCCCTTGAACACACACAAAAAATTTCATCAAAATCGGTCCAGTCGTTTGAGAGAAGTTCAGTGACATACACACTCACAGAAGAATTATATATATAAAGACTAGCGGCTCACCCTCGTTTCACTCGGGTTTACCTCTAGGAAAGCAAAAACAAACCTATCCCGCGGGGATCGTGCATTTATCCGGTATAAAAAGTAGCCTATGTTTTATTCCAGACTATAATCTATCTCTGTGCCAATTATTGCAATATTGACTATTACTAAGTATGCATATTTACATATATCAAGTAAAAGTTAGTAGTTAGTATAAAATAAATTAAAAGTTAGGGTTATAATTATTATTTTTTTAATTATTTCGTACCACCCTTGATGTATTCAGTATCTATTTTTCATATATCTAAAATTTAATGATAATTGACGAAATGCTTTGCACACAAAAAATTATAGCTGAATTTAGTATCTTCTCCTTTTTCAGGTTTAGTCGGTAAAAAAATAAGTTATAAAATAATGTCTTTCCAAATTTAGAAGCAAGACCAAAGGCAGGCATTCTTTCCAAGACTTGGAGGAAAAACATCATTTACATCCTAATTTCAGACAGCTGAATTAAATAACTTTCCGCTTGACCTGGTAATCGAAACCAGAATCTAATAGATTAAAGAAGGTAACCAAGACAAATAGCCCCTTTATTACGCGATAAAATATATAAATACCTCACTTTAATAAAGTTTCCATCACAATCAACATGATAGCTGTTCAGACCGTGGTCAAATACATAGCACTGGTGTCCATATTCATCTACGAAGTAAGTACCAATAGCGTCTGTATAATATATTCGATCTGGGCCTAAAAGTAGGAAAAAATGTTAGAAACCCGAAAAAAACTTTTTTTCAGCGTTTAGTCTTCATTCAATGGAGCCTTCAATGTATTAACATTAAATGGGACTAGAACCTGTGATGATTTATTGTCATTTCCGTTAATAAAGTATCAGATGGGATCTATACAACAAGCGAACTTCAGGACTTTGCAACTATAAAAATTGTATCCGAGGGTTGTAAATTGGACAAATATTTGATGAAAGTTTAGCCCAAACTCACCATCACAGGTTAACAGCTGAGAAGTGGATTTTTTAAAAATCATTAAATCCTGAATGAAAAAAAAATCAGCACGGGAATGAACCAAAAAATATCAAGGAATTATTCGTTACCTCTCACACTAAAAAATGTAGACAAAGCCTTTGCAGCGTTCAGTTTCATCTCGCACAATTCCTCAAACCTTTGTTTTGACTTCTTCTCCATATTTTCCCAGCATTTCGTTTTAGCTGGTGGTATTTCTGTTTTCCTTAAAATACGACGTGACAGATAAGTTTATTATCGTTAGAAAAGGTTCTTCCCCAATTCTCTAATGAAGATTGCAGAACCGAGGGCGCAAATTTTAAGTCCATTTTTGTGTGTCTTGGTTTTTGTCTGTGTCCTCGTATTTGTCAAACTAGGCCAAACAGATATAAATGTGCTTTTATTCAAATATAATGTCCATTCGTAGGTACGTATGTTTGATTATTGCATTTTAATGATATGGAGAGCTATTAGGGAAAATACAGACCATAAAAACGCCAATGACGCACCCTGTCTTGAATGCGCATCATCACACACCATGTGTGCGTATTCTGCGTTGATAAATTAACAAAATGCGGATTATTAGCGTATAGACAGCATGCGAAAAGCCGTCATGTGCACAAGCTCTTTTATCTTATCTCACGAGTTGAGTAATCCCATGGATAATCGATATTTTAAGAGATTTTGTCAAGAACAGCTGTGGCTGTTATGTATGAGACCTTTTTTGAAGGGTATTTTAAATTAATGTAAATTAAAAAATGTTTGTCTGTCTATCTGTGTGGTTGAAATTTGAATTTTATTCATGGATTTATTACTGATGGGGGTTTCGGGCAAGAATGCCATAGGTTTTTATTACAGTACTTTCCACAGATTTAGAGTGATTAGTAGTTTACGTAGATAAAATTTTTAAGAAAAAATTTAATCCTTAACTTTAATTCGTGTAACAATTTTTCTTGTTCTAACAGATTCTTTTCTTCGGCCGCTACTTTTTTCATGGTTTCCTCAATTTGCTGGAATTCGCTAATTTTATCTGTCCAATACTTGCATTCTTCTTGCAATCGATGCATCGGCATATGCTTTGTTTCTTCTATCTTATCTTTTAATATTTCCATACTACGTTGTACCTAATGAAGCTTTAATATTACTCGCGCTTCTCGTAAGCTATTCATTGTTATTTGAGTACAAAGTACTAATTGGATTAAGTATTTTATAGTTAACCTTTAAGGGTTCTAATTCAAAGTAGTCAATTTAGAACGCTATTGCTAAGTCTACGATGCAGAACCTTGGTGTGGAAATCTCTCGCACTCGATGAATTATTAAAAGAAATTAAAAGGAGTGGAAAAAAAAATTAATGACAATATAAAATTTTAATTAGTATTTTCACATGAATAACATATTATTGTAAATGAAGTAGTTTGTGTGTTTATTACTTTTCACGCTGTAGGTAAATGCTGAAGGATCAACAGATTTGACTTTGGTATAGAAATAAAATATACCTATCCTGGATCCACCTAAATGTTAAAGAGGTACGTAAATGTAGACGTACATACAATGTAAACAAACTGATCCGTTGGCTGGTTGGAAACTTAGGGTTTAAATAAGTGCAAAACTACAACTAACTTCGGCTATATCCCCCGATGATCTGACATCTTGCCGCGACAATATAATATGCTCTTTACTCTTTTCATAGAGACGAATCAACAAATGTGATAGATCCACTTCAGATATCTCTTCCATTGTACGCACGTTATTTTGAAAGCGATTTAAAATTTCTTCTAGGCTTACACGAATACGGTCAATCTAGAATTAATATATTTTCTAGAATAAATATTTTCATTGGAACAATTCCAACTAAGATAATGAGTTTAATAATTATTATTATTATAGTTATAAATGTTGTTTAAGGCAGTGGTAGCCCAGTGGTAACGCGCTCGCTTGGGCAACCGAGTGTGCTGGTTCAAATCCTGGGTCTCGTACCTCTGATATTTTGATGTGCGAATCATTTCCAACATGATTACCACTTGCCTTACGATGAAGGAAAACATCGTGAGGTAGCCTCCTTGTCTGAGAAAACCTAGCAAGTTTTCAAAAGACATGTGAAGTCCGCCAACCCTTACGTGGCCAGCGTGGTGGACTATGGCCTGATCCCCCTTGTATTGTAGGGAGGCCCGTGCCCAGCCGTGGGGCGTAAAAAAGGGCTGAATACAATACAAATTTTGTTTCAAGAGTATAATGTTACTATTTAAATATGTAGATGTATAACAAATATACTAACAACTAAGCTCAATTTATAAGAAATGAAATTGTAGGTGAAAGCAAATATATCATTTTCCCTTTTCAAAGAAATTTGACATTGTTCCTTAGCAAAAGTTTGTATTTCATCTTGCTTATCGAGTGATTTAAGTTCATCTTTAATATTGTGAAAACGCTCCATATACTTGGTATATTTGTCTTGAAGATTATCAAATAATTCATTTTTTGAAGAATTTTCATTAAGCAAGAACTCTTTTTCAAAATTTAATTGTTTCTTTTCTTGCATAGATATTGTTTTTTCAATCATTTGTAATAATTCACTTTTAGTTAAAGAATGACTGATTCTATCGGCTTCTCTTATTGCTGCATCCATTACTTCAGTCCAATGATCCGTAAAACTGTTTAAAATATCTTTTATTTCGCCATAGTAGGTATGGTAAGACCCATCTTCAAATTTAATAACATCGAGAAGACGAATATAATGCCTTAATTTCGGAGCTATGTCATCTATAATTATAATATATGGTTCATTTAAACACAAGTCTCTTAACTTGTAAATATATTGATTAAAAATGTCCATGTTGTTTTCAAAACAATTCAAAAATTAGCTGACAAATTCAACTGATTACCTGCGACTCTCCGAGGCTTCCAATAAACGATATACTTTTTTTTTTACAAAAGTCTTTCCATCTCCCAAGTTTTATGGGCTATAGATACATTCGATAATTATTCATATTTTGAGCTAAAAAATTATATGTATGTACTAAAAAAAAATACACATTTAGGGATGAAAAAATTACATTTGATAAAAGTTAATTAGAAATCACAATGCTGGCTTCCACACGTTCCTGTACATATATATTATCTATATTTTAATTTACAATTGTGTATATAATCTGTGCGACGATATCAAATTTCTTAATGGACTCTGGAATTATCTGTGAAAAAAATATCAAAATTATATCAAAAATCATTGAAATATGAATGATAACATGAGGTTTTTGGAGAAATCAATCATCGTTCATTTAAAATAGGAGTTTAGGAGCGTAGCGGTGACTGTGATTTACAGTCTACGCAAAGTTTTTCTTTTAAACGCGCTCCTAAAAAATCCGGCAAAAGGTACATAATATTTAAATAATATTTTGCTTTTCTATTACTTAGAATATTGTCATGCTATAATTTGCATAAATTTTATGTTTTAACTATCTGATCTAATAATGTTATACAACAGATTTTTCTATGTGGTTGTCCTTTAATTTGTATTCAAATTCTTAGTTGCAGAGGTTGGATTGTATTTTTACTGGAACTACGTGACTATAGTCACATAATACAATAACAAAGTGTTTACTTTGAATTTGTTTAGTGTAATGGTATAAATTCTCTTTACATTTAATAATTATTTTGACCTATTTTTTTATGGTTTATGTAATACAATCAGTAATATGATATAGGTGTAGATTTCGATATATATATCAATTGTGTTTATAGAGCAGTTGTATTTGAAGTTTCCGTGTTTTAAAGGTTTCAAGTGTGGTGGTAAATAATGGCGCAGTGCTAAGCTAGAGTATTGTTTGTAAGCATTCCAATTTCTAAAAACTAGAGAAAAATAAATACAAAATGGCCAGATATTTTGAAAATACTACAGTATTTAACTTTAGTTGGGACCAGGTCGCTCGGGGATACTGGAGTAGGTATCCAAATCCACTAAGGTATGTAATATTTTTTATATGTACAAGAATACATAATTATAATTCCTTTGTGTTAAATTATTTTTTAGTTTAATTTAGTATTTTGTAAGTGAATCAGATGATACTATTCCTTATAACAAATTAAGCAATATTTATCTATCAATAATCCCAAAAATAAGTAGTCAATAAAAGTAGTAAAAAAATAATTCAAAATACACATGAATTTTAGAATGCACATCCTTTGAAACAAAGTTTTCCAAAATAATGATAAAACTTTAATTATTTTCAATGTTTAGTTAAGGTTTTACTAATTACAGATTTTTTATAATACATAGTATTATGTATTTTTCTTTAAAACAAGTGATACAAATACTGTATTTATTTCAGCACTCATGTCCTATCAGAAGACACTTGCAGCAGGGAAGTGAAAGATGGCTGTTTGTACTCAAAGAGGCTGTTAACTAAAACTAACAGAGTACCAAAATGGGGTGAAAGGTATGTCACCTTGAGTTTATTTTTACAGTTGATTATTTCTAAAAGTACTTCTTTTGTTATTTTGAGTTGAGAAATTATTTTGGTTTTAAGATACTGTGTTAAAGTTTTACTTTTATGAGCACGGCCTTTTACACAGTTAACTTAAAAATTGTGTATGCACATGTATTTTTCCTGTCCCTTAATAGTTATTCATTCGGCCTTCGTGTGTACTTATTGGTAGTCTGCGAAAAAGACCGGATGACTTCCAAAGGCCAAGTTTTTAGTGATTTTTTTTCTTGAGCCATAGCATTCCATTAAAAAGATGTGCTGATCTTTCTTCAATCTCTAAGTTGGTACTGTTGGTGATACTTCAGTTAAAAAATTGTTTTTTGACAAAGGATAAGTTTGTACTCCACTTTTATTTTAGTTTAACCTTTTTATGGCATGAGAGTCTACTTTGTGTGAGGATTCAACAAACTTTTTGATAAGGCAACCTAATACGGTTGGATAATTGGATTGGGAATAAAACAAGCTTTCATTTGATATTTAATTCAATTTAATAACTTATGAGGGTATATTAATAACGCTTACTTACATACATATTTATACCTGGCAACTCCATAGTTGCGAAGAGGGGAAAGTAGGCAACCTTTATTTTTTCAATTCCTTGGGGTATATCCTCTCAGCTGATACTCTACTTTCATAAATAACTAATCAGGGAAGTTGAACAAAAAAATAATAATTAAACGTTTTATTGTTTTATATTTTCGGCACGTGATTTAGCTAGGCAACCTATTTGCGATGTATCAATGTATACATTATCTAGCATATTATAAAATTTACTAGCGACTCGCCCTTGCTTCGCTCAGGTTCGTCCCTACTTACGTTTTAAAGTTTTGTATAGATTTCTCAAAGATGAATTATTTTTCCGGATTAAAAAGTATCCTATATGTTAACACGGATAACCAGCTATCACCATACCAAATTTCATCAAAATCTGTCCAGTAGTTTCTTCGTGATGCGGTAACAGACAGACAGACAAAAATTCTAAAAACTATAGATTCAGCCTCTGTATCGATAATAATGACTCTTTCAATCAGATTTTTCAAAAAATATTTAATGTACAGATTGGGCTTAGGTAGTTACAATTTTATTATATGTATGGATTATCATAAAAAAATAGATGAGGGTATATATTTCTTATACCGGATAATAGACCGTAGGGTAATTTTTATAGTTATATAACACGTGAGCGTAGCCACAGGCAGCAATTAGTGTACTATAATATAATTTTCTATTTTCTAAGCATTGTCACTTTCAAGGTCTTCAATGAGTAAATATAGAGGCCTTAGTACAAATGTAAACAATGTGTTATTTTGGTGCGTTTCCTGTAAACAGGTTTTATACTTTTTGTTAGATTTATGGCGGCAGATTTTACATTTTCAAAATATAATATTTAAATATAATATTTAAATTTTATTAATCTGATTCCAATTATATGAACGCGAAAGTTTTTATGTGTTTGCTTTTAACTCATTTATGTAGAAATGGGTGAACGGATTTGCGTGAAATTTAATACTGGTATATTGGGTACCCAAGGATGCACCCGGGCGAAGCAAGGATAAGTCGTTCGTCTTATTTTCTTTATTGCAACATACTTCTAAATGACTTAAATAGGTTACTAGCAGTAACCGCAGCTTCGTCCGTGTTCAAACTTCCGATCGCTATCAAACACATCGGTTTGTTATATATATATATATATATATATATATATATATTAGAGATATGCCGATTACGACCTACGCCGACTAGTCGGCTGTAAAGAGGCCGTCTAGTCGGCTAAGCCGATCATTGTTTCGGGGGATTTCCCTGATGCTTCGTTTACCGCTCAATCGCGCTGAAGTCGCAGCCGCCGCCCGCGAACGTGTCAGAATCTGTTTTGTTTACTTCGCATTGTTTCTTGAATTTTGCTGTTGTGCGAGCCAGAGCGGTGATTTTGTGTATTTTTTTGTAAAGTTAATAGTGTTATTATTCATTAAAGTATAAAAGTTTAATTATAATTTAATAATGTCAAAAAGAAAGTCTCGTATCTAGATTTTTTTTGAACAATTGTACAATGATTCCCGCAAAGTCAAGTGTAACCAATGCCAAATGATAATTTCTCGTGGCAGGCATGGGAATACAGCTAATACTACAAGTATGAACAACCATATTAAATACTGACATCCAAGCCTGATACCTCAGTTAAGATCTTCGATAAAATGTCCGACCACAGCCGATTTCTCGCAGTCGCAAATCCAAGCAGAACTACCTTCAACAGTACCTATTCCGTCAACTTCAATTCAAAATATTTTATTCAGCATTAAATTATTACAATTTTTTACTGAACGTCATGAGTCCACTACCAGTGCGTCTGGCACCCATATGAGAAAAAGTATGGGCTTATATTGGAAAAAGTACAAAAGGCCTTCCTGAGATTCAAACGATGCTATGGATATTACCCATTTCTATACCCAACCAAATTTCTTTTAGATTGCTTAGTTTTCAACTCCTTGAAAGTCAGACGGACTTGTGACCAACTAAAAACTATGTGCCGAATTTTGCGAGGAGACGTTGATGCTCCGGATCTTCACGCCTAACCATGTCGCATTCCTGCCCCTATTATTAACAATCTCCGCCCCCGAAAAAATAAGATTTTCGTTGTCCCATATTGTCGCACTATTGCTCGAACCATGGCACCTATACCGCGTTCATTGGCATCGTTCAACGCGCTCTTGGACAACAATGCACATTGGGACCCATTCAATGACAAGTGGTCAACTTTGGTCTTTGAGTTGCTGAGGTATGCTGAGAATATTGAATAACCCTGATATTAAACGGGGATATTCGATATTCTCAGCATGCTCTCAGAACCCAAGTAATATTTACTTATGTTTTGTTTGTGTATTTTATTTTATGTTTGTAATAATTTATAATGTATAATCTAGTTAGTGTAAGTGGCGCCGCCGTTCTAATTGGATGTAAAATAAATAAATAAATAAATAATAAATTCCCAAGGCGTGCCATATTCTATAAAATCATTTATTGTATAATAGCCTTTAGCACACAAATATTCTTTAACATTTTTTTTGAATTTGGTGATAGAAGCCTTTTGAACATTTTCTGGGATCCTGTTGTACAAGCGTATACATTGTCCATAAAAAGAATTACTGACTCTGTGTAGACGAGTCACAGGCATTACAAGTTTGTGTTTGCTCCTAGTATTAATGTTATGCATGTCACACTTCTTGGAAAATTCGTGTATATTTTTACGGACATACATAAAATTTTCGTACACGTACTGAGAAGCAACAGTCAATATTTTATTTCTTTAAACTTATCTCTTAATAACACTCTAGGACCTAAACCATAAATTGCACGAATAGCTCTTTTCTGCAGAACAAAAATTGTATTAATAGCAGCTGCATTTCACCATAGTAAGATACCATAAGACATAATACTATGAAAAGAACTAAAATATACTATGCGATCTGTATCTACATCAGTAAGAAATCTTATTTTTTTTACCGCGAACGCTGCAGAGCTGAATCTACTCGCTAGCCCCTCAATATGGGGGCCCCACTGCAATTTCGAATCTATGATAATACCTAGGAATTTAGTGGACTCTACAGGTTTTAACATTTCGCCTTTTAATATTACACTATTATTAACAAGTATGACATTAGGTGTTGAGAATTTTATTAATTTTGTCTTTTTATTATTTAATAATAAATTATTTGAATCAAACCAATAGACAACCTTTGAGGGAGCATCATTTACATCGTCGTACATTAGCGAATTGCGTGTCATCAGCGAACAATACTATCTCTTGTTTGTCCTGTACAAAAAATGGCAATTCATTAATATAAATTCCGCGGTAGGGCTTAGCTAGCACCCATTGCTTGTTCAGTAGGTATAGCAGTATAGCTGGAAAAAATTTGAGGTATCGTTAAATATGTGTTGTCAGATTTAAGCTGGCTCTCTAGCTATAGCGACAGTGATAGCCCAGTGACACGCTCGTGTGGATGGATAACCGAGTAATGCGGTTTCAATCTCTGTCTCGCACATCTGATATTTTCATGTGCGAATCATTTCTAACATGTAAAAGGGCTGTAAATACATATATTTAATTAGTTTCCTCGCGGACTTACACACAGATATTTAATGTAAAATATTTATTTTCATAATGTAAAAATGACGATTTAAAAGAGCTTGTTAAAATCTATTTGAATAAAGTATATTTTGATAGATTGATTAAAAAATACGTACAAAGTAAGAAGCCGACTAGTCGGCCCTTTTTGCCGACTACTCGCCGACTAGTCGGCACATCTCTAATATATATAGACTAGCAGAACCCGCGGCTTCGCTCGCGCTAAAACTACAAAAAATCTCAATAAATTTTTCATTTCAATTTAATTTCATTTTACCCTTCTATAGGGTGAATTTTGAAAAATGCTAAAACATGTATTTATTTAATTTTATTGAAGAGCATTAATACCAAGTTTCAAGTAATTTTGATCAAAACATTTTTTTTTTGGATTGTATTATAAAGTGTTTTCCTGTGGGAATTAGGTAAATTATCGCGGTAAAAAGTAGTCTATGTCACTCTCCAGCCCTCCAACTATCTTCTTACATTAATTCACGCCAATCCGTCACTCCGTTTCGACGTGAAAGAAGGACAAAGAAACAAACAAGCACACTTTCACATTTATAATATTAGTATGGATTATAATTTATAGGATCATTTTGCTTATCTTAAATACTGAATTTTTTGCCTCGCATGGATTCATTACGTCGATTGTTATTCGGTAAAATGGCGATTGCACACTATCTCGTTATGAATAACTGATAGCAAGTGATAAGAGGATAAACAAAACGTATACTTATGTCCTTGACCTTTGCACGTATACATAATACTGAACCTTTCTCCTAGTTTTATTTTTAGAATATTATGTGTATCTGTTTGTTTGTTCGTTCGATTTGCATAATCACTTTTAACTCTTAAATACATATAAAAATTAAAACAATATGTATAGTTTTGCTGATTTTCTTTAACGACTTCAAAAAGTAAGAAGTGCTGAATTTATCTGCATTTCCCTGTTAGTTATTACGTTACGGATTAACTTTTCCTCGATTTTTATAGTTCTTTTTTGATTTTAAATTTTGTTTACCTCTTAATTACATTATAATGTTCGTAAATCTTCAATCGCAATTATGGATATTAATTCGTAAATATTTTACGTTTTAACGTATAGATTTCTCAGAGACGAGATATTTTTCTGTAGTAAAAAGTATTCTATATGTTACCCGGATAACCAGCTATTATCATACCAAATTTCAACAAAGTCCAGTGGTTTTCTCCTGATGCGTTCCCAGACAGACTGATAGATAGATAAAATTCTAAAAAAAACTAGATTCGGCGTCACTAAGTATACACTATTTTAATAAGGTCTTCCAAAAAGTATTTAATGTACAGATTCGACTCAGAATTTTATTATACACAATATGTATAGATTGTGTAATGGTAGTTTCCGTAGTTATTAGTATTAAATATTCCTTTTCTAATATAAGAAGAAAATTAATTATTTTATTATCTACACACAAATGTAATATTTTGAGGTATTTAAAAAAATGTACAGAAAGGGTCAAGATGTTTAGTTTTAAATATGAGCAAAACCATAGGCAAAAGCTACTTTGTACACAGTGGTGTAAGAACATTAGAACGCCAGTTTGTATATAAACTTATGTATGGAATGATCCAATTGAAAGATTGGCCACTTATATGGTATCTCGATGATTAGTTAAACGACACAAGTCCGGTTTGTGGATAGTGAAAGTTAAATGTTTTCTATTTGAACGTGTATACGTGGGAATATGAAGATGACATACATATTTTGTAGGTTTACATAATACATTAATTTTTCAGAATTAATTTTATAACTAGACTACCAACTCACCCTCGCTACGCTCGGGTTCGTTCCTAGTTACGTTTTAGCTTTTAGTATAGTTTTCTCAGAGATGATGTATTTTCCTGCAGTAAAAAGTAACCTATATGTTAACCCGGATAACCAGCTACCATCATACCAAATTTCATCAAAATACCTCCAGTTGTTTATCCGTGGTGCAGTAACAGACAGACAGACAAAAATCTTAAAAACTATAGATTCGGCCACTGTATCGATAATAATGTTTATTTCAATAAGAATTTCTAAAAAATATATTATGTACAGATTCGGCTTTATTATATGTATAGATAGTAGGAAATTAAAAATAAATAATATGTTATATTACGTAATGTAACTCGAAGAACAGCCCGATTAAAGGTTGTTCAATTTGGATGGGATCTGCAAAGTATGGTGTCATCTGTGTTTATACTCGGGGATGATATAGCTTTCTTTAATAAAAAACTCGGTTCACAAGTTAAAAAGATTAGATGTCACATACATACAAACAAACCAATATGTCTTTATAATAATGTTTCAGATTATATTTATTATTTACTAGTGATTTGCCCTTACTCGAGTGGAATCCTTTGTTACGTAGATAATATATAGCGTCGCTACAGTTTAAAAGATATTTTGAAGAGGAATAATTCCATAATGCATTGTTTTCATAAAACTATTGGTAAAGCTCCCAGACAACATGATTTTTTCCGACATCTTCAACAATCATCGGCACATTTTAGTCAATATACGCAAAACCTATAATGAATTATACACCAACACTTTCCTCATGAAATCTCTATCTATTGGTGAAAACTATTGGTGAAACCGTGTGAAATTACCTACGTTTGGTAGCTTTTGAGTTTATCGCGTTCAGATAGACAGACAGACGCGTCGGTAACGTTTTACAAAATGTAGTGATTTCTGTCATTATATCTAAAATTATTATAAGTACGATGAAACAAGTAGGAAAAAATAAAAGTAATATTATTTCTTTAGTTTTGCTTTAGTATCGTATTTTGTAAATAATAATTAATTATTTATTATTTGTTGAACTTTAGATTTTTCAATGCCAAGTCAGTGAAGATCATTGAAGAGAGTATAGTTGATCCTGAAAAGAAGATATTGGTCACGTATACAAGAAATCTCGGCTACACGAAAGTTATGGTGAGTTTTCTTTACACAAATGCTACATTTGTACTCTTGTATTGAAAATGTGTAGAAAATATTAAATAGAATAGCATCGTACTAATATTATAAATGTGAAAGTTTTGATGTTAGGATTGATGTTTGTTACTCAATCACGCCAGAACGGCTGAACGGATCTGGATGGAATTTTGCACAGAGATAGATTATATTCTGCAATAGTACATACTTTTTATTCCGGAAAAATGTTCGGTTCCCGTGGGATATCTATACTAACCGTTAAAACGTTAATACCTAAGGATGAACCCGAGCCGAGTTGATTATAAAAACATAGATAAATTTGCATCCTTTCTAACAAATAACCCTTAAAAAAGTGGCGTCGACATATACGACGTGCGTGACGGTAAGTCAAACTGAAGATTAAAATTCAAAAATCGAAAGCCCTAACTGTCTAAACAAAAATTTGAACTTACGCACACCACATTAAGTACTTTTTTGCTTCGGTTTTAGTTTGATCGGAAAATAAAAAAAAACCGGATCTTGATAACAACAACAACTAAATTATAACTAAGATTCATCCAGGTGACCCTGTACACAAAGAAATCAGTTAAGCTTTTTAGGCTCAACCTGGCGCTCTTTGAAGCCATTAAAAAGAGAATTTGCATTGAGTTGAAGCTATATGAGGAGAAGAATTACGAACACACGCACACGACATTTGTTATATGTAGATATGAATAAATGTGTCGAATAGAAATTAGTTAGAATTAAAATCGAAAACAAAGCTGAAAGCGAAGTCCGGTTCCTATTTCAGTTTTGACAGAAAACGAAATTACCATATAGGGCAATTTTTTTATTACTTTTTTTTTTGGGAGTGTTACGGTGTTACATTTGGCCATATGTAAAAATAATAATCAGTACTTAACCTCCACACTGTAGAAATACGAAAGATTTACGTGTACAATCAATTAAAGGGAACAGCCTTGACTGCGCATCGCTAAGGGACCTTGAACATTAATATTCAATGCACTTTATGTTTGATTGATTTAAAATGATCAATTTTTATTAGGTATATTTTATCTCCTTGTTTTAGTATGGGTCTGAAAATAGAAAAGATATAAAGAGATCGTTTATTTGCTATAAGTTGAAAACTTGACAACTAGTTCGTAAATTCCTGAGTACTGAAAAGAAATAACACTCAGCGGTGCTACACATTTTCTAAGTTATACACAATATTATTACAGTATTATACAACCTCGAAAGGCTTAGCTTAAAACCTTTTATAAAACAGCTTATTGTATAATATAGCCTTCAAAACAAACGTTCTTTTACATTTTTCTATGTTTATGAATAGACTTTTTTCTATGTTTTTTGTTGTATATTAATCATTAAATTATTTTATTTTTTCGTTCGTAAAAAGAATGACCGACTCCATGAAATCGAGACGTTTGTATGTCGTGTTTGTGTTTTTCGTAAGTATCTAAAATGAAACTGGTATGAATAAAAAGACAATGTGGCCTACGTAAGTCAGTTGAGTAGAATAAAGTAGCATTTATTAAATAATAACCCCTGATAAAAGGTATAGCAACCACAATATCTCGGGTTTGTTACGGTTTAGCGAGTTGGTTCCTTTTTAAATAGACTTTTGATATGGTGTTCTAGTAATGATATAAGTTTCGTTACTGGCGAAAGTTAAAACGAAATGATGACAAAAGGCATAATATTCTTTATATTATTTTCTATTGGTTAGAACAAAATTCGGTTGGTTAATAGAACGGTGAAAAAAAAAAAATTAAATAAAAGCCTGATCAGGATTTCGATAGGCAAGCTATTTTAGATATATCTATCCATTACTGAAACTTTATAAAAAATATATATATATATTTCATCTGGTTATTGGATCGGTAAAGGTCGTGGTATATCCGGCTCTTAGACCATAAGTACCGTATATAATTATTTCATATTATGCATTTAGTAAAACGCTGTTATTTTGACATTACAAAGATACACTTCAATTTTATCTATCTATATAGATGATGTTTCATAATCACATTTATAGAATCTATAAAGTATAAAATAAAAATATTATCTAAACAATGACCTCTTGGTTCACGGATTTACATTGGAAATAGAGGCCTAGAAAACAATTTCATGTTTCGATTGAATCTTACTACAGCTTTATTGACTATAGATATACTATATTAATAATATATAAATCTGAAAAGTTTGTTTGTTTGAACGTCCTTATCTGTGGAAGTACCTTTTAGTGAGATTTGAAAATTATGTTCGTATTTTATAGCCTATTCAGGAAGGATTCAAGAGTTGGAAGGTGGAATTCCACACTGCCTAATTTCATTTTATTCTTCTAGACCAATCCCTTACAATTGATTAAAAGTTTATTTTAGTTTTTTTAAAACGTATAATATTTAATTGTGTGTATATTTTGTTTTTATTATTACTCGTACCCCTTCTCTCTTTCGTTTTGCAATTTCCTACACCTATAGGGTGCCTGGAAGAGATCATTATTTTAGCGATAATACAGCCTGTTGTGCATTTTCTGTATTATTTTATTTAAAGTTAATTACTTTTCTGCATTTTTTTCTTGGGTGTACAATGAAGAGTATATTATTATATTGTTTTTTACAGAGTGTAGTGGAGCGGGTCGAGTACCGACCGTCGGGTCCGGGGCAGACGGTAGCGAGGCGTTCCGCGTGGATTGACTCGCAAGTGTTCGGTTTCTCACGCGCCATCAGAGCATTCGGTGTCGATCGCTTCAGGAAGAATTGTTCGCAAATGGTAATAATGGAGAATTATTTTTATTATTATATATATTAGAAGTATTCAAGGGACCGCGATATACTTAGAACAACCCAATTTATATTTTGTTAAAAGTTTAATTTTTATTTTAAAAACAAAGTTAAAATTATCATCTATACCCGATTATTATTTTCAGGTAAACGGCTTTAATCACGTCCTGCACAGTATGTTTCCAAGACAAGTACCTTCACACACCATGACGCCCATCACTACTCTTAAGGAGATGAGGGATGCTGCAGCTGCAGCCACAGACCGGGCTAAGGCTAACGTCCTCTCATCTGTGAATAGAAGCTAACAGGATGGCGATGTTAGGCCGAGTGCATCAAAATAGTTTTATATAGTGTTAATGGATATAGTGCTATATATAGTGCATAGTGTAAAATGAAATCACAAATATTTTGCTCCCATAGTGCTATAAAATGGTGAAAACAAAGTCTTACACTATAAAACCTACTTATGTACGCACATATGAAGTTATACTTCTTTGGCGTAACAGAACAAAAGTAGCTAAACATTTCATCCCGTATGTCACATCTCTCTGTTTGTAAAAGGATCGCAGCTAACTTCATCATGTCGCTTTTTGGCTGTCGGTGTGTGCGCTTCATCGTAAAAATTTTACTCTCATATTTTTTTCCAAACGTGCCAAGAGAAGTATAACTTCAAAAAGCCAGGTTCTTTTATAACTTCACAGAAAAAATACAACTTGAAGGTTGCTGAATATAATTATTACAAACCAACAGTGATATAAAAGAGATATTTAATTATCTAATTTTAACACGTAACTTCGCTTTTTTTAACTTTTTTGCTTGACTAAATTAACGCCTCCATAGTGATAATAACAGTATTGTCATAAATTAAAATAGTACAAATAAAACACAGAAATCTAATATTAATAATAAAATAAATAAAAAAAATGCACTACACATTAGATCAACGATTTAGTAATTTTACATTTAAAAATTAAAGTAAATGCTTTGTAATTTTACATTATTCTGAATAAATGGAAATGCTTAAAATAAAAAATTGACATTTCAACTTCCAAATGCTTTTAGAATATTTATTAATACATACTACTTAGCAGTATATTTCACTAACTACAATAAATAAAAGTTAAATAATAAAATTATCTTAAAAAAATAATGGATGCGTGTAACCTTTACCCGCGGTTGAAGTGAAACTTCTTTGGCGAGTGAATTAAAACAAATCAGTAATTAAATAAGCCATATAAGGCATGTTACTCATATCTTTATAGAATATCATTTATGGAAACAATATAATATTATATATCATCTGTCAGACAAATAACAATGGTTACCATGGCAACAATTAATTATCTATTCTATCTCATTCTGTCGCCAGCTTAATCCCATATATTTGTGTGTTGTCTCTTTCTTGTGTCGCATTTTCGTTTCATCGAATCAAATCGCAACAATTCTAAAGAAGTTTCACTTTAAAAATATCACTATGTCTCAAAATCTTTAGAAATAATATATATATACATATATATATATATATATATATATATATATATATATATATATATATTATAAAGCTTGCAACACTGCCATCTCATTCAAACATTCAAGCTACACTGTACCTATATAATAAATACACTTGGTTTTTGCATCATTACACTATAATTTCTTATTATTATGTTAATTATATGTAATTAATAATAGTATAATATTCTTAACATTACATTCTATTTCTGAAATGTTAAAATTTCCTTATAATTTTAACATTGTTTGTAACCACATTCCAGCTGTGGATTTGTATGAAATTGAAACTAGTTTATATTATTTAATGTTCTCGACTGAAACTTTGCATTCTATCTTTGTCTTCGATGAAATATATTGAAGCATTATAATTGTTTTGATTTGCATAATTTTGTATGTATTAGAAATCTAAGACAAAATTTAATTTGTCTTAGTTGAAGGATTAATTAATCAGTGTTGGAACATCATGTCATAATAATTGGTAAAAAAATATATATAAAAGTTGTGGAATTTTAATATTTCCTGTATAATTATATATTATAATGTATTGATAATGATATAATGGGATAAAAGTAGTGTTGTCATTGGATATGGACTTAAAAATCAATGGGACAAGTTATTACGTGAAGAGCTTTGGACTACAGATTCTTTATATTTAATTGTGTATCTTGAATTCTTGTATATCAATGAATATAATATATGATAAATATTTATTAAACTTGGCTTCCTTTGAATAACGGTCAAATACCCTTTAAGTACTTACCCCATAATAATAATAAGCGTTTATTTCGAACAAGAAGTCAATAAAAATCATTAGTATTTTATATTAAGCATAGAACACAGAAAACAGAAATAAAATACTACAAAATTATAACATTGAACTAAATAAATTATGTGTGTCAATATAAGGCCCATATACTATTTATTTTTGAATATATACAAGTTTAAAAGCTCTTTTCATAATAAATGTGATAAATGATAGTCATTGATTGCATTTAATGCAATATTTCTTGTTAATACTTTGGAAAATTAATCAATTAGAGATACATTTGCATTAGATTTACCCCATAAAATGTTTTAAGTAATAAAAAAATAACTCAATCTTGAATTACTGTTAATTAATTGATATATACATATTTGAGAGTACTGCTGTGCCAGCTCTATATATTATTTGTTGAGTTACCAGCATTGATGCATAATATGGGATGGTGGGTTTGAAGTAAGGTCGAAAAATTAATTGTCTAAAAATAATAATTCTAGTGGAGGAATTTTCCTATTTATAGAGTATAAAGTCCTACTTATTTGAAGTAGTTTCTTGGTATTTGAGGGTTTGATATGTATCACTGATTTGTCTCGATGCTTATTTGTCCAAACGACCAATTTACTGAAAGAATTTTTAATACAGAATTATTGACTTTTAAATGACTATTGGTATTAAATACACATTTTACTTTAATAAAACTGAAATATTGTATTTTATCTATATTTGTGTGTAAATTTTAGAAATAACACTTGTTTTTAAAATAGAGGAAAAAAGCTCTATAAAATACTATTGGTTGTTTGAACAAATATACACTAAGGTGACATGTCATGTCATGGTCAAAAGTTGCTTTTTATGATGCAATGAATTTAACATTTATTCCTAAATTAAATTAGAGGTAGTTATAATAAAATGTTTGAAAAAACTGATAATAAAGGAGTCTACATTAATTATTGGTTTTTTCTTTCCTAAAAAAAAATGAACATTATGAACTTTAATAAATAGATAAAAAATGTGCGTGTAACTTTTACGCGAGGGTGAGTCGCTAGTTAAAAATGTATCCATATATTTAAAATTGTAACTAAGCCGAATCTGTACATTAAATATTTATTGGAAAATCTTTTTTAAATAATCATTATTATCGATACAGAGGCCGAATCTACAGTTTACAGAATTTTTGTCTGTCTATCTGTGTGACTGCATCACAGAAAAACCATTGGAGGGTTCAAGGAAAGCTTCAAAGGAACACTGAGAAATCTATACTAAACGTTAAAAACGTAAGTATGGACGAACCCGAGCGGAGCGAGGGTAGTAGTCGCTAGTAAATATATATTTTTATAAATAACAATTATTATAAACATATAAATGTATTATTTAAAATTATCTATAATGATAAAATCGAAGTGTCTGTAAGGTCAAAATAACAGCTTTTTACTAAATACATATGGAATGATATACGATATTTATAAGAAAAATACAATTTTTAATATTTTTGCCTGTCTGTTTGTTCCGGCTAATCTCCAAAACGGCTGGGCCGATTTTGACGGGACTCTCACTGGCAGGTAGTAAGGAGTGACTTAGGCTACTTTTATTTCAATAAAAGAATTAAGATTCCGCTCAAAAAAAATAAAATGTACCTTGGGACGAACCTGAGCGAAGCGAGGGTCAGTCGCTAGTTCATAATAAATTGGACTCTCGCTTCCACGACTGTCGTTCCATTGTATTCCTATAGCTTCCAAGTCTATGTTATATAAATGTATTATTTTTAATGTTCTCAGTTCTTCTGATTTAACTGTAGTAATTTCCTAAAGCTATAAGTTTCTCATGTAGAAAGACTTATTTGTAATGAGAAATAAAGTTCTTTAAACTGAAGATGCAGCATATTTACTATCAGCTGCATACAAAAATGTAGCAATTGCAAGTGAGGGGGAAAAATAATAATATAAATCAAAATACATTTAAAAGGCTCTTCATTCTTCGAATCTTCAATCAATTGAAATAAGTTTTAGAAATAAAATTATGAAAAATAAATTAAAACATTTATTATTATCTATGCTACAATTAAATCACTATTCTAAGCATTTCTTCTGTTTATTAAAAAAGACATTTTTAAGATTTACAAAATCTATTTTTTTAAGTTATTTTACTTTAATGGCAGCTCTTAATCGAGCGCTCCGACTTCTAGGATTCATATCCACTTCTTCATCAGTTGGAACTTCAACATGCTTATTGATAGCTTTCCATGGAGTATCCAGAAACTGGTTTATCGTTTCCTGATCTTGTACCAGCATTGGACTAAGATACCTAAGAGGAACTGGATTCGCAGTTTCATTCACAATATTCCCTGCAATATGACGCTTCACAATTGTGTCTTCTAGAGAATGAAAGCAAACTGTTACAAGGCGACCATTTAATTTTAAATAATATTTTGCTAACACCATACCATAGTTTAGTTCATTAAGTTCATTATTTACAAATATTCGTAGAGCTTGAAATACTTTAGTTGCATTGGATTGTGGTCTTTGGAGTTTATCTAATCTGAACTCGTCAGGACAACAAGAGTCAACAATGTCTACTAATTCATGGGTTGTATCTATGTTTTTAATCATGTATCTAGCTTGAATAATTGTTTGTGCAATCTTTGCTGCTTTTTTCTCCTCACCATAAATTTTGAAGATCTTATAAAGTTCATCCTCAGTAGCAGTTGCGAGTACTTCTCTGGCTGTTATTTGATTTGGATCATGTCCAGCATCCATTCTCATGTCAAGATAGCCATTTTTGCTAACTGAAAATCCTCTTTCCCCATTATCTAACTGCATTGAAGAGCAGCCAAAATCAAATAATATACCATCTATAGAAGACTGTGTTACACCAATATTATGTAAAAGATTTGGCAATTCACTAAACTTTCCAAGCAGTGGTGTCACTCTATTAGGATATTCTTCTGCAAATTTTTTTGCCTTTTCATAAGCTATTGGATCTCGATCTAAAGTTATCAATTTACAATTAGCCGAGTCTAGAATCCTTCTGGAATGGCCTCCAGCACCAAATGTCATATCTATGTATAACTCATTGTCACTCGGTTTTAAATGTTTTATAACTTCAGTCAACATAACAGGTGTGTGATCTTTATAAGATTTGGTATGAGCATTACGAACTAATAGGGCTCGATTTACCAATTTTATTTGATTTAAAAACATTTTTAATCCTTATTGAATATTTTTCCAAAGAATCCTTTATTTTCTTCTTTTAAATAATCAAGTACTTCTGAAGATAATATAACATTACACTCTTCCGTACTTAAACCTGTTGCTGTACTATGCCTAGTTCTTTTATATTTATCTCGGTAGTAGTTATCAGCGATTTTGTTTAGAGTATTATATTGACGATTACAATGTTCAGAATCCAAATTTTGTTTGTTGCTCGTCTCAAACGCAGCTTTGACTTTGTCACGAATAAATTTGCCGAGATCTCTAAAAGATAGAAAAATTATAACTTTAGTTAAGTTGTTATTTAAGAAATTAAATGATTTACGGCTAAATAAAATACTAACCTTTCACCTTTCGTGTTGTCTACCGGCCACTTAGCAATTAACTTTGTAAATTTCTTATACTGAGAAGTCATATTTATCATTTATCTATCCAGTATCCATATTAGGTTATATAACAATAAGCCTAATTATTTGCACAATTATTACCTATGAAATATGAATTAATGAACGCAATGGGAAATCTAGAGGAAAAATAGTCAATTTTCCATGAGTTTCTGATGTCAAAATAAATGTCAATATTATGACATTTGACAATCGTTTATTAAACGATGTTTGTTAATATTATAGTTTTAATTTCAAAATTGTAAAATGTTATAGAAAAATTATGTTTTTGTAATTGTTAAGTATTTATAAGCTAGTTGAATAATAGCTTGACAGCTGTTTCTTCCTTGCCCTCGCCTTTTCACTTTATACAGGGATGGAAAAAATCGATGGGACATGGAAGAAAAGTACCTTACATATTAAAGTTATTAAGATTCACCCAAAGGAAACATTTCTTTATTTTTAAAAATAATAATAATAGGATTTAATTCTTTTGAAAAAAAGCTTACCTGAACCGGGAATCGAACCAAATAAAAATGCAAAAAAGGTCACCTTCACTATTTTATCGAATTAATCGATAGGGTCTATGGGAATGATAAAATTTCTCGAACAAATATTGTGTCTTAGAATTGAAAAAAAATTATGAAATCTTACAGATTATACATACGACTCTAATATCGTGGAACAAACGCACAGGTCATGCAAGAAAAGTGTCTTAAACACTGAAAATATTAATTTTCTCTTAAAGTAAACATTATTTTATTTTTTTAAATAAGATTAACTACCTCTTTGGATTTTTTCGCGGATTTATTTGGATTTTTGGTTTGCTTTACAGCAATCATGGTCACGGGAGAGACTGAGGTGTTAGAACCTACCCTACCCCAGCCTGCAAATTTATGATATTTGCAATGAAAAAAATACTAATCGATAGATTTTCAATAGCTCAATTTAACTACGTAGCCCTTTCAAATTGCTCACCTTTAATTATTTAATTAAAAATCAATAAAGTCTTTGAAAAAAAATTAATTTATCTGTATATTCAAACTCCTATAGCTTTTGATGTATACAATATTTCAAATTGCTCAAAGTTCTAAAACACTGCTCAAGTTGCATTTGTAATTGCTCAAGTAGAGTTTTTACCAGTTCCACTTTCGCTGATTATTAAATAATTAAAAGTATAGTTGTAATAAATGTAACGTAGGTTAAGTGAGCGTGCGCATGCGCACCGCGCATTGTCGGTCGGCCTCGGCGGGCTTGGACAATCGTTCCAATTCAACGTCTTAATTCTGTTTCTCGGTGGATTTCTTTAAATTTATTGAATTTATGAATTGTTCACATTACGTGATTCCACTTCAGATATTATAACATAAAGAACAGATCTGGAATCTACCAATAAATGAAAATTAATACCAACAGATAAATTAAGACAAAATCTTATGTTCAAATGCTTATTCTATTAAGGTAATAGCCATGACAGGGATCATTAGTAAAATGTTATTAACATCAATACAAGACGGAACTTTTTTTATTTTTAAATATACAAATTTAAATTTTATTTAAATCTATTTTTTTTTAAATCTAAATTTTCAAAACCGACTAGAATTGATTTCAACAAATTAGTTTCGTTTGCAATGCGCAAAATACCTGAACACGTGAAAATCATGCCCTATAAAAATGCCTGATAATAGATGATGTTGTGCTTGGAGTATTACAGTTTCATTTCACTATGATGAGGTTATGAAACACTTGATTTTTTTGCCTTGCGACTCGCGTTACTGTTTGCGCGCATGCGCAGCACTCACCTATCTATACGTTAAATTTATTCAAACTATTTATATTTATTTAATAATTAAGGAAAGTGGAGCTGGTGAGAACTCTACTTGAGCAATTACAAATGCAACTTGAGCAGTATTTTAGAACTTTGAGCAATTTAAAATATTGTATATATCAAAAGATATAGAAATTTGAATATACGGATAAATAAATTTTTTTTCAAGGACTTCATTGATTTTTAATTTTATAATTAATGGTGAGCAATTTGGAAGGGCTACGTAGTTGAATTGAGCTATTAAAAATCTATCAATTAGTATTTTTTTCATTGCGAATATCATAAATTTGCAGGCTGGGGTAGGGTAGGTGGTGTTAGATGTCTCGAAGGTATAGTTGTTACAGACAGCCTACCCATAAATAACAAAATGAAAATTGCACCAATTACCTTACAACATTTTTTAACTTTAAATATTTTTACAATTTAAATTAGTTTTATAATTAAATATGGAATATTATTTATTTAATTTTTGCTGTTATTATTATAATTATTACATTTTTAAAAATATTAATTAGTACCTAATCTTTATTTAGTGCTGCCATTATTTGATATATATATATATATGTTATGGTATAAGGTATGGTGGAAAATATCGGATTAGGCATCTATTCTAAATGTAAAAATAATAATAATAAAATAATTTAAAAAATAATAAAATAATTTAAAAAACAACTAAACCCCCGATTAGTTGTTTTTTAAATTTTAGTGCCTAGAAGTCGTTTTTTTTAAGTTTTTATTTTAGAAAAATAATCATGTAATACTAATTTGTTTCTCATGATCATGTAATACTATTCTTACTAATTTGTTAATGCGAAAGTTTGGATGGATGGATGCTTGTTACTCAATCATGCCTGAACGGCTGAATGGATCTGGATGAAATTTGGCACAGAGATAGATTATAGTCTGGAATAGCACATAGACTTCTCTTTATCCTGGAAAAATGTATGTTTCGCGTGGGATAGGTTTGTTTTTCACTTAGGACGAACCTGAGCGGGCGAGTTACTTATAAAATCTAACGTCATAAATGTAAAAGCTTGAAAGAGAGGTTTTAATATATGAACTGAACCTCTAAGTATTACCAATTTATTCTATTCGCGTATATTTACAAACATAAATATCGAATAGTTGAAACATGCATTTAATCTAACCAATCTATTTAGCTTTGGACTTGCAGAGCTAGGGATTTAATAACCATCATTTCAAATTAGCTCGTGATAATCCCCATATTGTCGAAAGCATAGTTATAGCTTTGATGTCGCTCATGGATTCCTTTATCTATATATATAATACATTAGTTAGCGAAATCTGTACATGAATATATATTTTTAAAATAATCACTGTAGCGTTATTGAAATTGATGTCTGTATGTCTGTTATAACTGCCTCAGTGGTCTAGTGTCTAACATGTACGATTATAGATCCAGAGGCCCTGGGTTAGAGTTCGGGGTCGAGCCAAGATTAATTACTGAGTTTTTCCGGAGTTCCCAACTCCAAGTTGGCGGTGCTGCACCCTGTGCCGAGGCAGAGGACGTAAAGCCGTCGCCGGCTCTCTCATCAGTTGTATCGAAGTATCTTCCTATCGGAGTTTAAGAGTAAAGGGAATAAGGGAGTCCAATTGTGTCTGCGCGTACACTTCTGTACTATAATATCTTCTGCGCATCTGGCTAGTCTATGGAGATTGGCCGTCGTGGCCGAAATCAGTCAGGAGAACATTATGTCTGTGTTCATTAGATGCAAAAAGTACTAAACCGATAGTATTAAAATTTTATGTAGTGTCTAGCAATGCCCTCGGCTCCGCCCGCGTTCAGATGAACAATAACCAAATTCTTAGGTTTTACATATTAGGATACTCTTACATTGCAGTTTTTGTATTTTATCTCAGGAATGAGACATTTCCCGCGGTAAAAAGTATCCTATATGTCGATCCGGATAATTAACTATCATCATACCAACTATCATCATACCAAATATCATCAAAATCTGTCCAGTGGTTTTCTTGTGATGCTTTTCTAGACAGACAGATAAAAATTCTAAAAACTATAGATTCTGCCTTTGTATCGATAATAATGACTATTTCAATAAGATTTTCCAAAAAATATTTAATGTACAGATTCGACTTAGTTAGAATTTTATTATACATATTATATATAGAATATGAAACTACTATCCAATATTTCCCGGTCAACTTATTCATGGTAACATCATTAAGATTCTGCCATATGAAAAAGATCATTTTTTTGCATGAATATTTCATATTTCTTAGTAGTCACCGTAATACAATACGTACATATTCCTAAAATAGGTTAGTGTTATCTTCTACTCCTACCTTAAATTATACAAAATAAACACTATGATTTAGATTACGTAAATAGTAGGTAATTCATACCATGATTATGAATCTTATTCTGTACTAGCGCTTCACCCCCACTCCGCTCGGGTTCGTCCCTAGTTACGTTTTAACGTTTAGTATAGATTTCTCAGGGACGAGATTTTTTTTCGCGCAGTAAAAAGACTCAGATAACCAGCTATCATCATACCAAATTTTATCAAAATCTATTCTGTAGTTTTCTCGTGATGCGTTTCCAGACTAACACACAGACCGACAAAAATCAAAAACTGTAGATTCGGCCTCTCTATCGATAATAATGACTATTTCAATAAGATTTTCCAAAAAATATTTAATGTACAGAGTCGACTCAGTATATTCTGATATGTATAGATTATTGTGATGATAAGTTTCGTGGTTTCTATGTTAATTATTGTATATTATAACTAGCGACTTAGCCTATGTGTACCAGATCCTAGTCTATCCGTGATCTAAACATCCAAATTCGTCCAGCTGTCTCAGCGTGAAGGAGGAAGAAATACACATACACTCACATGGAAACTTTCTCTCTTATAGGTCCAATAATATCACTGGAATTACTAAAGCGATTTAAATCACTAACAGAAAATCCATACTTCCATACTTAATAATTATTATAAATGTGAAAGTGTGTTTGTGTGTTTGTTTGTCTGTCCTTTTTTCACGTCAAAACGGAGTGACGGATTGGCGTGATTTTTTGTGTGGAGATAGTTGGAGGATTGGAGAGTGACATAGACTTCTTTTTATCGCGGGAGATTATCTCATTTCTACGGGAAAACACGTTACAATACAATCCAAAAAATGTTTTTGTTCAGAATTATTTGAAACTTGGTATTATTT